ACAACCCCTTCTGGAAAGAAATGCTTCCTAAGAGCCAGTCTAAGCCAGTCTAACCCTGCCCTGGCACAGCTTGAGGCCATTCCCTCTTGTCCTATTGCTTATTACTTGGTTAAAGAGACACCCCCAGCTCTCTGCACCCTCCTTTCAGGGAGCTGTAGAGGGGGATGAGGTCTCCTCTCAGCCTCCTCCAGACTGAACACCCCCACTTCCCTCAGCCGCTCTCCATCAGACCTGTGCTCCAGACCCTGCACCAGCTCCGTTGCCCTTCTCTGGACACGCTCGAGTCATTCAATGGCCTTTTCGTAGTGAGGGGCCCAAAACTGAACACAGTTATCAAGGTGCAGCCTCACCAGTGCCGAGTACAGGGGTAAGATCCCTTCCCTGTCCCTGCTGGCCATGCTGCTGACCTGCTCAGGGCCCAGCTGTTTACTGGCAGCCTCCGCTCCTCCCCAGGTGTTCCTGCACTGTTTCTGGGATGGAAAACCATCTAAATATGGTATTGCAGGAGCAATGGCTGGATTTGAATGGCAAATGGATTTCAGCATCCTACAAACACAAGGCTAAGACCCTTTTTGGAGGAAGTGCAGGGCGTCCCTCTGATGTAGCAGAGTGTGTTTGAGGGCCAGCTGCCAGCCATACCCTGCCCTTTGGGCAGCTTTTTGGGTAGATCCTCCGGCCATGCTTTGCAGCAGGCTGCTCAGGGGTTTGTACCCAGCCAGAACCTTCTTTGGTGGATGGAGCAGCCATATCCTGGCATGTGCCCATGTCCCACAGAAAATACAGACCTTTCCTCTTGTTTATATCCATAGGCTGATTGTTCTTCTTCTGCATCATCTGCTCCCGAAGCTTATTTCTTAGATAACAGTAAGATTTCTTAGAGGTCAGTTATCTGAATGACATTGCTGCTAGCTTTAGGCTGTGAAGGACCAAAGAGACATCTCGGCTTTGCTCAGCAGGCTGGCAGCAGGGTGAGGAGAACAGCACAGGTAGCCCAAGTCCCTGGGCTAGTGCTTCAGTCCGCTGGCCACACTCCTCAGCCCCATAGCATGCTTCAGCTCTGTCACCCTGTCTATTATGGGCCAGGTTCCCAGCTGCTATGAGCCGGGTTTATTCTATTGACCTCAATGGAACCAGCCCCAGTTATCATCCTGGAGAATCTTGCTCTATCTCTAGAGAAACAGAGTGGGAGTAACTTTTTGGGGGCTGCTTCAAAAAGCAGAGCTGTAACACCATGGTATAACATGGTACAGTGCTCTCAGAAGAACTCACAGCTAAGGAAAAGCCCACATCATCCCTGTTCCTGCATAATATTTCAGTATTTGAAGTTTATTTGATGAATGTTATAGCAGGTCTTCTGGAGGGCTGCACATCCCTCTGTCTCTGATACACACTTTTGAGAGTCAGCTTTTTGTTGGAATTCATGCAGGCAAAGCCCTTTTTCTTTAAAGAAAAATTCTTTTAAAATGTTGTTTATTGCTTATTCTCCAGGGAGCCAGTTGCCTGCCAATAGAGGCAGTGCTGATTTCAGGCGAGTCGGAAGGCTGGAGCAAACATGGATGGGTCATGATTCATACCCAGGCTCGGCTGTTTTTAGCTGTTTAAATTACTTGCAAGCTGCCAGACATTGTTCTCAGAGCTGAATAGCACTCAGCTGCGGTCTCAGCCCCGGCAGGAAAGGTTTGCGTCCTGTTCCATCTCCGATCAAAAAAATACCAGGATGTCTACAAGAACAGCCAGAGCGCCACAAAATCTTTCCCCTCTCCTTGGGCTCATGCTGAGAGGGTGTCAGTAAACAAGGGGGGAATAAACTGGTGATCTAAAGGAGAGATTATTTTTAAAAAATCAGGGAAGTGATACCAATTTTCTTCTACTGGCATCTGGCCCTCTTTGATAGGAACTTTGCTGAAGAGAAACTCGCTTATTTGATGTATAACACAGGGCCAAACCC